AAAAAAAAAAAAAAAAAGAAACAAAGAGGTATGTGAGAAGTGGAGAGAGAGAGAGAGAGAGAGAGAGAGAGAGAGAGAGAAGGAAGTTATGAAAAATCTAGTCGTTTTAATGGATGATCGCTAACTAAAACAACATCACAATCATCAGAGGGAATACCTTTACGAAACGGAATATAAGCTGAACTGCCCTTGATTGAGCTGTACTTGCTTGTGGTTTTTTTGGTTTTTCTGGTTTGTGTTTTTTTCTTCTTATTATTGGTTTATTTTGTATTTCTTTTTATTTATTTATTATTGTTGCTGTTTATTATTTAATCTCACAAAGAGTATACATANGTTTTTTTCTTCTTATTATTGGTTTATTTTGTATTTCTTTTTATTTATTTATTATTGTTGCTGTTTATTATTTAATCTCACAAAGAGTATACATACACGTATATATATATATATATATATATATATATATATATATATATATATACGTATACATATACATATACCTGTATAACTGTATACAGATTAAATAAGGTTGTAGTGTGTTGTTATAAAATGAGTACAAAAATTCTTCAGCGAATGGCAGTTGCTGTGGTTGCTGCATCAGCTGGTGTGTACAGCTGTTGCTTCGTCGTGCGTCCTGGAGAGGCTGCTGTTCTTTACAACAAGATTACTGGTCTTAAAGACACAGTATATGGAGAGGGACTCCAGTGCCGCATTCTTGGACTGGATGAAATCAAGCTCTTTAACATCCGCGTTCGTCCACGTGTGTTGCAAACCATGACTGGTACAAAGGATCTTCAGATGGTTAACATTCGTCTGCGTGTATTGTTTCGCCCACAAACTGAACGTCTACCTCAGATATACCGTACATTTGGAATGGACTATGATGAACGTATTCTTCCTTCCATCAGTAACGAGATCCTAAAGGCGGTTGTGGCAGAGTACAAAGCGGAGGAACTTATCCAAAAACGTGATGCGGTCTCCGCTCGTATTTACCAGCTGATGCAAGAAAAGGTGACTCAATTTGGTCTTGTTCTAGAGGACCTTTCTCTTGTGGATATTCAGTTTGGAAAAGAGTTTATGATCGCTGTGGAACAGAAGCAGGTTGCTCAACAGGAGGCGGAACGTTTCCGCTATGTTGTACAGGAGAATGAACAGAAGAAGAAGGCCGCTATTGTACGGGCAGAGGGTGAGGCAGAGTCAGCACGTCTTATTTCTGAAGCGATCAAACGTTCTGGTGATGGTTTACTGGAGCTTCGCCGCATTGAGGCTGCAGTTGATATTGCATCTCAGTTGGTTCCATTACGCAATGTGACTTTCCTCCCAGGCGGTAATAATATGCTTTTTCAAATGAAGAATCCGAGCGGCTAAGAGTTGGTTCTTCTTGTAGGGTGGAGACAAGTGAGAACGGGAAGTGGGAAAACAACAACAACAAAAAAAAAAGAAATGGAAAAAAGAAAGAAAAAAAAAAGACATTTAGGGAGATACTTTTTTTTGTATTTGTAAGTAGCGAAAGCAAAAGGGGATATTAATGAAGGGAGACATAATCATTTGTTTCTCTCTTTTATTTTTCTTCTTCCCCGTCTTACTTTTAATCACTGATGGATGGTGATACATGAGTTCACTTTACTAAGTTAAGACACAAAGGCGTTGCCATCAGGGGTGACTCTTGCGTTTTTTTTTTTTTGGAAAGCGCTGACCTTCGTATGGACCCTAGCACACCTTCTTATTGTAGCAGTTTTGTTGATGCATGAGAAACCAAAGAGTTAACGAAAAGAAAAAAAAAAATACACATATATATTTATATTTATATCTGGTTCTTTTATTTCTCTTTCTCCTCCTCTTTTTTTCTTTCTTCTCTTTTTCCTTCTTTATTTTGACGTGTGTGTTTTTTTTTTTGGTGCATATACGGTGTCCATTTTCTGTTAAAGGTGGCACGTGTAGAGTAAATGCCGACGTTAGACGTGACAACACTATTAGGCAGTAGCCTTAGTGATGAACTCCGTGCGACATCCCTTTTGGTGCTCGATGGCGCTGTTGTAGTGGGAACCAATAGAGGGTCTGTATTGGTTTTTTCGCAGCTTAACAACAACAAGAGGGGAAGTGGTATAGATGCTGCTACGAATGATTGTGATAGTAAAAATACTGAGGATGTTCTTCCTGGTGTTTGTGTGTACGCCCAGACTCTTCACCACGGCCCAGTACACTCTCTCTGCGCCTCCACTGCAGATCTTTTTGCATCTGCTGGCCATGATGCGGCACCGGTTGTGCAGCCCATAACGAATCTGCTAACAAATGGTACAGAACGTGTGCACCGCTTATCAGGACATACAGTTCCTGTAGCAGCAATGGAGTTTTTCTCTACAGGAACTTGGTTGGCGACGTGCAGTGTGGGTGGTCGTTTTATTGTCTTTGACACTATATCCCGTTCAATGCTGTGTGATGTGAATGTTGGCTTCTCTGTTCGTTGTTTGGCACTTTCACCAGACGAGACGACGTGTTTTGTGGGTGGAATGCAAGTTGCCCGTATTGATTTATATGAAAATGATCGCCCAGTGGAGCCACTAGGAAGACGAGATCCCCCGCTCTGGCTTCAGCACTACTCATGGTCTTGTGCCGGTGAAAAATTTATTGTAGAGGCACCTGAAGATTTATTTATTGCGAGACTCTCTGTTACGCCAGACTCACTCACGGCATTCTTTCAACCACGCGATGGTTCGGCTATCGACAGTGCAACTGCCACATGGTATCACAGTGCAGCGGACTACTGGCTTTCCCGCAACTTTGAACGCATCGCAAAGGGTAGTCATTCACAGAAAGAAGAAGAAGAAGAAGAAGAGGGGGAAAAGAAAGAGTTACCTCATCTACCTTTCCGTAAAATACTTCTGGTGGAGGACTCTCAAACAGAGAAAACAGAGATGGAGGGAAATAAGAAAAGGAAAGGATCATCAATGCGACTGCAGGTGTGTAATGGCTGGGATACATGGCCACGCCCTCATGTCCGTGTGGAATCTCAGGAGACTCTGCACATTTCAGCATCTGCAGCACTTTTGGATAAGAAGTTACCAGAGGCTGCGGATGACTCATTGGAGGGCCGTTTGGCCCGTGAAGAAGAACGCGGTAAGGCATTGCAAGCAGAGTGCGATGAGATTGTACACCGCTTGAAGACCATTATGGAGCAAGGAAGCAGAAAACGAACGCGCCAACCCCCTTCCTCTTGAGAGGGAGAAGAAAAGGAAAAAGAAAAGAAAGACAATGAAATGAAAAAAAGTGATGAACCTACATTGCTTAGTAAAAAGAAAAAAAAAAAAGCGTCGATTAAATGAATTTTTGAGTTATGTCTCTTGACCTATACAATGGGTACCTTCACTCCTTTTTATTTGTAATTTTATTGTGAGTTGGTCTATTAAATTTTTTTTTACCCCCCTTCCTGTGCCTTTTTCTTTTCTTTCATTGTATCTATCTTTTGCACTATTTTTTTTTCCCCCCTTCTTAGTGCCCACAGGAAAAAAAAGAAACACACAGAGACAGTTCCCCACATTTAGAGGGATATTGCTTACGCTATTGCTGAGGGCGGGGTGACCACGTGTAGAGATGACCGGGAATGCCCCGGCAGTGTTGCCCAATCTGAGTGCTTTAGTTGGAAGGGATGTCGCGAACAAACTTGTGGAGGCGGCTGGCGGTGTTGTGGCACTCGCGCGACTCTCCGATGCGGCATTGCGGCATCTCGGGCTTTGCGAAGAGGCGCAGTTCCAACGCGCCCGACATCTGCACGCCGGCCATCTTGCGGAGGCTCCAATTTTTGTGGAGTTCTTTGGCGCCGATGATGTGCGGGCGGATGAACTGCGCGCGGCGAAGAAGGCACTAGCCGTGCTCGCCCGCAAGTGTTGTATTGCCGCGAAGGCCGATCTCTCGGGCGGTGCCGTAACAGACGAACTTGGAGAGAAGGAGCGCGAGAAGTTGCGGCACACCTTCGAACTGCTATTGGCAGAGGGGAAAGTAAACGCAACAGACACACAAGCACTTCCCGTTCCGCATGTGTTTGTGCGAGGAGAGGAGATAAAGAAGAAACGTGGTGGTAGGAAGGAGTTCCGCAAACAACAGGCACAGAAGGATGCGCCTAGTGCTTTAGAGCGTGCAGTTTCACACATAAAGATGGGCGTGAGCGAAGAGGAGCAAATGCAAACACTTATGCTGCGCAGCGATGTTAGGGCAGAGCTGTTGAATGGTGTAGCGAAGCCACGGGAGCAGCGAAAACGTCAGCGGGATGAAAAAGATGATGAATACGATGATCTTATGCAAATCCGTCTATAAACTCACTCTGGTGGTAGTAGTGATGATGATGATGATGATGAAAATGCAGTCACTGCTTGTACAAGAAAAGAAAAAAAAAAAGAAAAAAAAAAAGAATTACATTTCTCCACTACGAGCAAATACTCTATTTTACTACTATCCTCCGCATTTTATGACACTCTATTCCCTCTTCTCTTTCTTTCTTTTTCTCCTTTTGTATGTTGTAAGCGACAGAAATTGTACGTGTTTCTACCTTTCTGTCTGTCTGTGTGAGTGTGTGGGTGTGTGAAACTTTAGCTGAAAGTCTTCCTCATTTTTCCACCACTAAAAAGTGAGGGTGTCGGAGGACAATGTATGATATTCTTGAAGAGGCATCCATTATCACCGACTGCGAGGTTTCCGAGGAGCGTAGTGCTAGAGGCAGCTGGAACGGCAGTATACACAATGAACCCTCAGAGGCGGAACCACCATGGTTACCGCCTTCTCATCTTTCTGCACATTTACCGTTTCGTTCTGCTTGCGAATACCTTGACCGCCATTCACGTGATTGGAATGATGAGTTCCAGAAACTCTGGGATGAGGAAACACATCAGCTGTGGGGCACTGATAGTCGTGAGTCTTTGGAACAGTTGCTTAATCACTATGAGTCATATTGTCTTAGTTTGGTAGAAAGCCTCTGTCGAGAAGGTGGCTCCAGCAGTACATGGTCAAGTAAAGCACTAGAGATCCCTGATTGCTTCCGTGTTGGAAACATCATGTTGCGTGTATGGAAAGATGACAAATTAGGTCTTAACATGCAGCGTTGTTTCCGAGTCTTACTCGATTGTAAAGCACCTCGTATAGCTTTTCCTCTTACTGCAGCATTTCGTTATTATAATGTTAGCATTACAGCACAAGCTGTTATACCAATAGCACGTGGTCGTGCTCCGCTCTATCGTGGCGATGGTGTTGCGGATCCACTACTACATTCTCCTTTACGTGATTACCTTTCTTTCTTACTGGAGGCACTTAATGTTATTCCACACGGTATTGGTGTACAGTCAAAGCATTTAGGGGTGGAGGTTTATGAAGGTGCGGATAGGCGTCTTTACCTTCTTAATCCTATTGGACTTTTACCACCATTGAATGGAATATCGTCAAGTCGTTCCGTTCCACTTCGTCGTTGGTGGCATATTGTGCGGGGACCTCCGGCTGTATTTATGCAACCACCGCTGGAGTCTTATGATCGAGATGTTTCTAATATTTATTTCTCACTTCTTGACGCAATGCATGAAGTTGGTGTACGTAGACATAAAGCTATGGTTCGTATTTTACATGAAAATGGACTCAATATTTGTTTACTGGGTAAAGTGTTGCGACACCTTCTCTCACAAACGGATGAGAATACTAATGATGATGATGATGATTATGATGATGAGAATAAGGAAAATTTATCACGATTGATTGGTGTAGAGATTATTGCACGTGCTGTACGTCGTGTAATGTATAATCAAGTAACTCTTGATCGCGCCCCTCGTACCGTTAAAACAGCAAATGGTTATTTAGCACGTGCTGTTAGTGCTATGATAGATACGGATTCAAATCGTTTTATCTACGGTCTTATTCCAACCATAAACAGGATGTTCCCAACTAGTGATAATGATAATTTACTTCAAAATTATTTACAATCTCTACTTCGTGATAATACATTACTTGCAACTAAACGATTATGCTCTCTATGCGGTTTTATCCTTAACAGAGGTATTGTAGAACGTATTGATTGTATCCCATCGTCACACAATTTTAGTAGTTATGTAGATGTTAGTCATGAGAGCGCTGTACCAGTATTTATGTTAAATACAAAAAAGGAAAGTGATGTTACTCGTGGTCTCTTTACATCTTTGATATTACCTTATCATATTGTTCATCAAGTACGAGCTGGTCACTTTCAACAAGCTATGCGTCTCGCTCGACGTATTGTTGCCGTACGAGCACGAGCCAAAAGACAATTCTTATACTTTGAGGCATTAATAAACGCGGCAGTTGTTACTACACAAGCTGGAAATCATGAAAGTGCAAAAGAAATGCTTGAACGGGTACGAACTGGAATGCGTATTACACCTGCTGTTAAACTTGGTGTTCTAAAGAATTCTGGAACCTTATTAATTCCACGTAATAATTATTTTCTCCCAGGTCGTGTTGAGGTTGAAGTAACAGATGGTTTTCTTGATTGTTGTTCTGGAGAATATGTGGAGGCACGAAAGAAATTTCTTTCTGCTATTGATTTGGGCTGTTCAATGGACACTTCAAGCGCGGAGTTTGCTACTTACTTACTTTTATTACCTTTCGCAGGTCTTCTGGAGACTGCCGTGCGTTCCTCCGTTGTAACGATTGGAGAATTGCTTGCCATGTGGAGACGTCTTCGTCTTCTTCTTGGGCCTTCTATTTATGGGGCGACTATTTGTGAACAGTTAGCCTCTTTACTATTTGAAAGAGGAATATATGAAACTGCGGTGGAGCGATTGCGAGATGCGATGGAGATTGTAGCTCTTCTCCTTGGTGATCAATCATTTGAAGTTGGTGTATTATTAAATAAACTTGCATTTGTTTATTATACATGGGATGTCAAACGTTTTGGAGTACTTTGTACCTCTTTACTGCAATTCTCAGAAACTATTATGATTGAAACCAAAGGGGATTTAACTGTTTCGCATCTCTGTGTAGTGGAGAATACTGTAATGACATTAATGATGCGTGGAAAGTTTGTAGAAGCCTCTGGGAGATTACGAGCGGTATTAAATCCCTCATCTCAGAGAATTCTCCGTATTCCACGGGAACACCCTGTGATGGTGCGACTTTACGAAACTCAGGAACGTCTTAAAACGTTGTTTACACCTACTGCCATTGTAATTATTCAACGCCGTTGGAGGGAATATAAAAGACGAGTGGTGTTAAACATTGTATTTGAGGTAAATGCATGTCTTTTACAACGTGTGGGACGTGGGATGCTACGTCGTAAATTATTACTCTTATACTCTAGAAGTTATATTCATTTAGAAGAGTTGTATCGACATGACTATGAATTTACTTTACTTAACTTTTCTAAACCATTATTACGTGCTTCAGAATTAATATCAAAGAAGTGTCGTAATTGGAATGGAGAATTTCAATACCACCATCAATGTGATTTAATGTGGGATGCAGATTCTTATACAGCACGGAAAGAACATTTAACGGCTTTAGAGCAGGAATTTCATAATACTGTAGTGGAAGGTATTAAAAGTTCACAAAAGTTATCACGGGGATTAATACCTGTACCAAGTTGTTCTACTTCTTTTGTGAAGGAAAATATTGTTATTACACGAGTGGCAAAAGATGATGAATTTCCAAAATGGCAGAATAAACTCTCCGCCTTGTTGAGACAGTCTCCAACAGCTTTTTTCACCGCTGCTTTATGTGATTACGTTGTGGTAGAAGATGAGGCCTATTTTGCACAAGCTCTTATTCCTGTACACCGTAAACCACAATTTATTATTGCTAGTGATGGAAAAATTGATGTAGGAACTTATGGGGAATCATGTGGTATTTTTGAAGAGATATCTTGGCTTCTCCTTGGTCATGGCTTAAATCATCATACCAATTGTGTGTTTGGGGCAGAGATTGTAAAAGCTATGGATGGTATGTGGTACTTGACTAATGGGATTCGTTTCCTTGCCTCTTCACAAGATTCCACAGATAATTTATCGGAGACTTCAAATACATCTCCATATGAAAAGGCTCTTCAGTTGTGTGCGATGAATCAGCAGAAACAAGCGGTTGCTCTCATGGAACAGTACATTTTATCCAGAAAGTGGTATCATTGCGCTGGTGAAATACTCGCACGGAGTTTTCTGGCCTATTGCCGTGCTGCAGCAGGGGAACTGAAAGATACCATATTTAAAGTTTCTAATATCGGAGATAATATTGAGAAAAGGGGATGGACGTTATTAACCACTCGATTGAATTATTTACTTGGACGGGCTTTAATTCGCATTGGAGAGTACGCACAGGCTATTGAACCACTAATGGAACAATTTCAAATTTTAAAAAGTGAACGCTTTCATGCGTACTATGCAGCTTACCCTATTCTTGATAGTGCTCTCTGGCTTGGTAGAGCCTCTCGCAATGCTGGTAAACCACTGCAACGATCTGTGATCACTTTTACACTTCACGTGGCGACTAATAGTGAACCAACAGAACTGTTGTTTGAAACTTGTGCGGCTATGACTCACTACTGCATGGAGTCCGGGGAATTACAACTTGCAGAGGAATTCGCCGCCGTACGTGAACGTAAAGTGAAGGAACTTGATGAGGCATCTAGTCTACGGTATGCTAAAGCCCTTCATGATCACAGTCAGTTACTCTTTCGAAGAGGTGGGAAGGAGAGTTACGAGGCAAGTGCTTCCATGTTAACAGCTGCTATTCGTATTGTGGAAACGGCTCAACCAGATTCTCTAGCTCTTGGCATTATGTTAAACAATTACGGATCCTTACTCACACATATGAATAAGTTATCATCTGCGAAGAAAGCACTTTTAAATGCCCAGCGGTTACTTCAAACACATCTAAGTAGAGAACATCAAGAGATGATTAGTTGGCGGAAAAATATGAAGATTCTTGAGAATAGAATACGAAGAGGAGCTGCGCTACGCATTCAGCATGCCGTACGCCGTTGGATAGAAAGAAGAGCTTCCAGCAGACGTTTAGAGTTAGAAGACCCGGAACGATACGGTGCTCTCCTGCGCTATCAATTAGTCTCACGTATGAAACGTCTTGTTGTTTCAGAGGCAACAGGACGAATTTTTATTGCGGATGAGGAAAATGAACTTTTTTATCTTTTACAATGTAAACAAAGACAGAGTCTTGGAAACGCCAAGATAGCAACCATTCTTCGTCAAACTCATGGGGCAAGGATGAACATTCATAAAGAAAAAATATTAACATCTCTTGCAGAACTCACAGAGTTAGAAAAAAATATTCGAGATGTAATTATCTCTTTCCAGTATAAAGAGCAGGAAATGCTATTTATACAGGGTTTATGGGAAAGACATCGTTTAGGTCGTCGTTCTATTATTCGTGAAAATCATATGATGCGCATTACACTCAAAATATGGCGTATCGATAATGTACAAACCGTAATACGTAGTGATATGTTACGATCACATTTGAGATTATTACTTTATCTTGTCTCACGTGAGGAGGCTGCACGGCGTAAAATGCTTGAACGGATAAATCGAAAGAAAAAACGGGCGCTTGGGGTTAATATTAGTCGTATATTGAATCAAAATCGTCATAGTAACCACCGTCCAAGACGTCGAAAAAACTTTCAACGCATATTCGAAGATCTTATTATCGAAGAACAGGTACGCAGAGAAAGTATTGTAAAGAAAGAGGCGATATTGTCGCGTGACTTTTTTTTTGGACCACTTGTAGATTCAGAGGAAGATTCAGAGAAAGATTCCTCTGGAATATGGTGACAATAATCAAAGTAATCATAGTAAAACATGAGATTTTTTTTTCAAAGTCTCGTGGCATTTTTGTGACTTATTTATATACATATGTTTTTTTTTTTTTTGTATCATACTTTATGTTTGCCCCTTATTATTATTTTTTTTGTTATTTTATTTATTTTATTTTATTATTTTATTTTTTTTTTTTGATTTTTGATTTTCTTTTTTTTGTCTTTTTTATTTACTTTCTGCATCATGTGAATATTCTTCTACGTCGTTACATTCTCTTTGTTAGCCCTTCAACCTGTTCTTTTTTTTTGTTTTTCTTTCTTCTTTTATTATTATTTCAAAAAGTTGTTTGGGAATTCATGGATCGCCCTTTTCTTTCGGCATGTGCCGAGTTCTATCCTTCGTATAGAAACTGGAATGCAGAGTTTCAGTTGGCCTGGGAAATGGAGGACAATACGGTTTCTCAAGCCGAGAGTCGTCTGGAGGCCCTTCGCCGTGTGGAGAGAGAGTTTGTGGCGGACGCCGTGCGCACGGTGAAGCAAATCGTGACGCTTGACGATGACGGCCCGCGGGAGATGCCGAAGTTCCTGCAGTGCTACCGTGTGGACAACATCTTCTTCCGCGTGCTGCCGGACAGCCGCTCTGGCCGCAACTACGTGGCGTCCCTCCGCGGTGTCCTGCAGAGCCGCACCCGCCTGCTCACGGTGCCCCTCTCATGTATGCTTTTCTACCGGGGGATGCCGGTGCTGGCGCAGGCCCTCGTTCCAATGCCGCGGCTACCCACGCAGCTCTACGGCGCAGATTGTGCAAATAATCACGAGGTGGAGGCAGAAATTCTGCACATGGCAGATGCACTCAACATTGTATTACCAAACGTTGTAAACTGTGAAGTGTATGAGGGACTGGATGGACGATGGTACTGTACATTAACAAATGCGACAACGTTTCCTTTGGGGGAAGTTCCTCACGTCAGTTGCCCTTTAAAACGTCAAGAAATGCTTGCATGTTGTGCTTATGTTACCAGTGGACCAAGGGATGTTCTGGCTGTATTGCATTCTCCAATATTCTTGAATGCGGTAACTCAATTAAAGAAGTTCTCTACGACAGATATTCAAGTTGAGTTGTGTAGGACATTACATACCCATGGTGTAAACTTGTGTTACCTTAAAGAGGTTTTACGAGCGTTTCTTGAGTTTCAACAAACCGACAAGGAAACGTTGAGAGTTGTAGAGTCATCTATTATTGTGGAAATGTTCGCTCGTACTATGAAGCAGGAGTTTTACTTAAGAATACAGTCTAACCGTACAGCATATGATGATGAAATACTACAAAATGAAATTACACGACGTATTGCGTATGGATTAGATGAAGCGCAATTTAAACAAATGTTTCTACCTGTATTGATGCGCAAATATTATGTTTCTCATGGAGAAAAAGATATTATTGCCTTATGTGAAACGGTACGTTCTACAAGGCGACACGAAATTATTTCACGTCTTTCTCTTTTATTGGGCGCTTGTTCACGCCCAGAAGGTACTTCCTCAAAGGATAAAATTGTCTGGGTACCTAAAATTTGTTCAAGTGTTATACCATTGTTATTAGAACCTAAAAGGATTATGGATCTCGCCGCTTACTATGACTCAACCAAAACAACAGCTGGTCATATGTATGCTTTTTGTTTACCATTACAGGCAAAAGTAGCCTATTGGGGAGGAAATGTTGAAAAATCACTAGAGTATACACGTTTAATTGTAGCCGGAGAAAAATATAGGCATGATCACTTAAACCTTCCTTACCTTTATGCACTACGTGATATGTGCGAATTACTCTTTGGTGGAGTTAGTATTGAACATATTGAAGAAGGACATAAACATCTTGACATACTACTACAAGGATTTAAAAAATTATCAGGTCCACTCACTCTTCTTCGTCGATACATAGAGTGTGCATGTTGGATGTTAGGTTCTTCTGATATAGTGGATATGAGGATTGAGGCGTTGGGTTGTTTTCGAACTGCCGGAAAGCTTATGCCTTCTGGTTTACGCAGCGACCATGGCGCCTGGTTGTATATTCGACCATTTCTTGGTGAACTGCGTTGTAAGCAGGCAATGTCTCCACAGGTGAAGGTGGATATTGTAGATATTGCAAGGGATGCGAAGGAGTTAGCGTCCATTGTGACGCCATCGGATTTCTTTGTAGAGTACTTATGGGAACTTGGGATGGAGCTACGCTGCGATGCACACTACGAGGAAGCCACGAAGACACTTCTTAAGGCCCTCCGCATGTGTAAAAAAGTACCACGCAGTCAGTTGGATGTCAACGCGTTAACACAAGATATCATCGGTACGTACCACGCGTGGGATCCGGTGAAGTACGGCGCTTACTGTGATACTCTTCTCGCCACTCTGCCAGATGCATCTAGCAGAAATACTTCTCACCCAAGTGATCCGCGTCGTGACAGCTCAGAGCGATAAGTAAGGTTTTTTTTTGTATCGTCAGCATTGTTACTTATATGTGATTTCGTTTTTGTTCTCGAGACTTGCTTGTGTGCTATTATGTTCATCTCCTTCCCGGACTTTTTTTCTTTTTTCTTCTTTCTTGTTTTTTTTTTTTTTTTTTTTTTTTTTTTTTTTATTTTCTCTTTCTTCTCTCACGCACAAATTCATCAGCGCTTGCATTAGATGTGTCATTGTAGGCAATGGTGTAGACCGGAGAAATCGGATTGAAAACCATGTGAGAGCATATTGCAGCGTCGTATTTCTCTTTTGGTACCGTTCTCCTCTCTCATTTTTTAATTTATTGTTCGCTATCTCTCTCTCTTTCTCTCTATTTCTGTATTTTCTTGTGGCAAAAATAATGGCAAAAAAAAAGGGGAAAAAATCCTCCTTATATTATTATTATTATTGATTAGAGAGAGAAATCTTGTGTCTGAAATCAATTAAAGAAGATTCTGGGAAGTTTGCGGAATTAAAGGAAATATAGCAAAAAACCAAGAAAAGGGACAATACGTTTCTCAATACGCTCGATCCATATATGGGTGTTTCTCATTTATCCCTACTCTCCCAGAGGTATTTTCGTGCGTTATGTTGAAGTGTCAAATTGTATGCTCTACAATGTCCGTTGATGTCTTTTATTCTCCCCCTCTTTTTTTTTTTTTTGTATTTTCTCTTTCCCCACTCATTATTTTTTTTCTTTATTTTTTTAAATAATTTTTTCTTTTGTTGTTGCGCTTCGCACCAATAAAACAACAACAACAACAAACTAATGTGATATAAGGTTTTTCTTAAACAAATAGTCGGTGGTCACCATTGTGTGAATAAGGAGAAGAGAAACAACACAAAAGTGGAGTCATCAACACGGTACAATGCGTCGTTCGCAGACTACTGGTACCCCAGTGCGGGAGAGACGGTCAAATGTAATGTTTTTCCCCGAAACGGAAATGTCTGCGACTGTTCCGAGTCCTTCGCGTTCACGTTCGCCAACCGTAAGCACCGGATCTCAGCGGGTTTCTTCTGCGAAACGACTCTCTGTTGTAGAGGCATCACGGCACCGTCTCTCCATACGCAAGTCCGCAGCGTTCCCTATGCAGCAGACTGCCCCAAAGCCATTTCTTGCATCCTGCGCAGATATCACACGACACGGAAGAGACTGGAATGCAGAGTTTCAGTTGGCCTGGGAAATGGAGGACAATACGGTTTCTCAAGCCGAGAGTCGTCTGGAGGCCCTTCGCCGTGTGGAGAGAGAGTTTGTGGCGGACGCCGTGCGCACGGTGAAGCAAATCGTGACGCTTGACGATGACGGCCCGCGGGAGATGCCGAAGTTCCTGCAGTGCTACCGTGTGGACAACATCTTCTTCCGCGTGCTGCCGGACAGCCGCTCTGGCCGCAACTACGTGGCGTCCCTCCGCGGTGTCCTGCAGAGCCGCACCCGCCTGCTCACGGTGCCCCTCTCATGTATGCTTTTCTACCGGGGGATGCCGGTGCTGGCGCAGGCCCTCGTTCCAATGCCGCGGCTACCCACGCAGCTCTACGGCGCAGATTGTGCAAATAATCACGAGGTGGAGGCAGAAATTCTGCACATGGCAGATGCACTCAATATACCTTTTCCTGATGGTACACTTGAAGTGTATGAAGGACTTGATGGCCGTTTTTATTTAACAAATTCAAATTCGACGTTGACTCCACTTTTTGTTGATGATACTATTATGAAACGGCAAGAAATGCTGCGAATTTGCAGTCATGTGTCGGATGGACACAATGATACCCTTTCAGTGCTTGACAACATTGAGGTTCTAGATGCCATTGTACGGGCTTGTATGGACAGCGAGTCCCGTTCAGTTGTTGATAGCCTCAGAAATGTTTCTGAAATATTGCACTCATTTGGGGTAAACTTATGTTTGTTGAAACAAGTAATGCGGAAAATAGCTGAATCCAAGAAGTATGATATGGTGATACTCAGACAAGTAAATGAGTTTATTTGTGTGGAAATGTTGGCAAGATCGGTAAAGCAAGAATTTTACTTGGAGGTTCAGGGTAAACGTGTCGCGTATGATGATGAAGTCTTGGGCGCTACCCTCTCCAAGCGTATGGGTGATGTATTTGCTAATGTTGATGTATTTCAAAGCCGTTTCTTAGAAGTAGTTGCAAAGAAATATGGTGTTGTAGATGAAGATGATGATATTATACAACTTCTTACAACTGTTCGCTCAACTCGGAAGGCAGATATTGTGGCTCGTGTCTGTGCATTACTTGGAGTAACCATTGAGAAAACTGGTGGAAATCGTTCCGATATGACATGGCATGCTAATGTAAATGCACGCGTTATCCCTCAACTTGCTGACCCGCGAGAGATGCGTATTCTGGCCGAAAAATATCGTACTATTTTTACACAAGAGAGTCATCGATATGCTTTCTGCTTCCCTGTTCGTTGGAAGGTTGCGTGTTGGGAAGGACGTTACGATGAGGCATTAGATCTTGTTCATGAAACTGCTACAGCACAATATAAACGATATGGTGAACAGGCCATTGTGACTCTATATGCACGACGAAGTGAATGTGAGGTATGCTTTGCTACTATGCAAAAGAAATGCATTGCTGAAGGAAGAAGTTTATTTCCAGGAGTTATGAAGGGGTTTGAAGAATTAACTTGTTTAGTAACGCAAGGAAGACGTCATATAGAGTACGGATTTTGGATCTTACGTGTGGCATTGGTTTATCAGCAAGATGATTTGGTTGTATATCGTAGCTGTGTAGAAGAAGCTGTAGAACATTTCTACAAAGCTATTGAAAAACTTCCAGCATACCTCAAAAGTGAGCATGGTTCATGGTTACACCTTCAACCATATAAGGGACTTTTACAATGTAAACAATTGCTTCCATCGTGCTCTGTTAACACAAAAGAACTTGTGGAACATTCTATTGAATTAAGTACCATTGGTTGGGCATCCGATTTTTTTATGTTATATCTTTGGGACTTAAGTTTACAACTAGAGACGGAAGGTCGTTACGAAGAAGCTATTCGAGTTCTTCTTACGGCTATTACAGTAAGTAAGAAAAAACCTACAGTTTCTCTTGATTTACCTACTCTCTTATTGGATGCTGCACATATTTACCGATCTTGGGATCAAGAGAAGTACTGTGAGCATTGTCTTACCTTATTACGTGAAGCTGCAGAAAAGGCAGTACAACTCTTTGGTGTACGTAGTAGGGAGTATGCTGTAATTTTAAACAATAAAGGTGCAATGGAAATTGAACTTAACCGTTTAGCAGAGGCTGGTGAGTCATTGGAAAAGGCAGGTATTGCTTTTGAAGAGGCAGGTGTTCCACAGGATGACCCAGATTATAAGACGTATCTTGATAATCTTATTTATTTGGAGCAACGTCTTTCAGCTCGACCGACGGTGCGAAGAGGATTTCTGCAACGTTACCCATTTTTGGCAACCACTGCGGATGAATTTCCTTTCAGTGCTGTTCGTCCACTTGAAGATGATGTCTTTGTTGGATTAGCACACCAACGGGTACGAATGGATGGTGGTACAACGGAGGCCAAACAAATAGAACAAATGATGAAAGAACGGGTATGGGAGTTGTTTAGATATATTCAAGATGGTGATATTTTAAAACGACATCCCTACTTGCCAGCCGTTATTCAAGGTGTACCAACTGCAAGTTTAAATCTTGACGATGATATGATATTTACAGAATTCATATCTAAAATGCATCGCAGCAGAAATCATGACGAAAGGAGGTTGTTGGAGTGTAGCATTCGTGACTATGTTGTTAAAAAAGCAGAAGATGCTGCTCTTCAACGTGCCTATATGATGCGCTTAGAACAAGAGTTCAACGATAAACACGGAGAGTACGTGAATTTAATGTATCCTATCCCTTGGTTATACGTCTTGGAAGATGAACAATTCAATCTTTTAACAGATGAGCTGCAAAAAAACATTATCTCACAGTCTCCAACAGCACAGATTCAATCTATTCAAGAGAAGATAGGTCGCCGTGTGAGAGAAATTGAAGAGGAGATGTTTGAGTGGAGGCAGGTACTTGTGCAGTGGTTATCACCTTCAAAGCTTTACACTGTTTCCTCTAAGGATTTTATTGGTGATGTTCCTTTACTTGATTTGCTTCGGGTACGCCGATTAGCTGATTCACCTGATGATACCTCAGTCGAAAAAATAGACACCCTTATACGTGATAAACTCACAGCAATGTGGGAACGTGCCCACATTACTCGAGCGTGTCTTGCAGTAGATGATGAGGAATTGCACCGAGAGTTCCCTTTTCTTACAGAGATGCCACACCATCAACGACTGTCAACGCTTCTACTACATGAGGATCAAATGGTGACAAATATCGCAGCACAACTGCGTAAAGGAAGCACTGATAATCGTCTCCAGTCAGAGATGACTGCTGCAGTAAAGACTATTGCTGCATACCGACGTGACTCTAATGAACTAAAAAAATGGTACTACGACATTGAGAGTATCAATACTGCAAACATTTCACTTGAAACTGTTCCAATGGTGCGAGACGATTTTTACTTAGAACTTTGGCAAACCAGAAATATAGCGAAGGAAGGACATGAAGAAAATTCTCCATTAATATTGGCAGTAACCCATAGGATGGGACAACGAATTATGCAGATGAACTCGTGGATGCGCAAGGTATGTGCTAATGGTTACCGACGGCGATTGCGACTTGAAAGTAAGTATCCATTTTTAACTCGGCGTCATCGGGGGTACACCTTGGAAGCACTAGATATCGAAGAAGACGAGGAGTTTATGTCAATTGTACGACAACGACAAGAACTTGTTGCTTCTTCTGATGCAGTACTTGGTGATATTGAACGTCTTGGCCGCCGCGCCAACAAGAGGGTAGAAAAAATTGCCTCTCGTCGTGTAAAAGAAACAGAGCAAATGAGTAGGCGATATCCTTTCATCCCAAACAAACTGGAGGGTGTAGAGACAGCAACTATCCGATTGGAGGACAATGAAACATTTATGGAAAAAGCAGCATACTATGCACGCCTACGTGAATCTGGTAGCAGCGACACTGAAGTGCGATGTCGACGACTAGCAAGGGAGATGGAAAACCTTGCAATCGCTACAGCCCGAGAAGTCCGCATTCGTGAATGGCGAGAGTGTATAGAAAGCGAGGACTTGCACGAGCGTTACCCGTTCCTTCCTGAGGAGCCAGCTCGTGGAGTACTGCTTGGCGATGTGCATCCAGTGCAACAACCAGAATTCCGCGAACTGTCGAACAAGCTGGATGAGCTGCGCCAGGATCCAACTGGTAATGCAGCTGAGATCAGCTCGACAGAGGAGGCCATGAGGGCACTGGTAGTTCGATTTGCCGAGGAGCGAGCGGACGCAACTGAGGCCGCACACGTAGAGTACCCCTTCTTGCCAAGGCGCGTGCTGGGAGTTCGTCTCGGTGATCTTCCTTTGAATGAGGATGAATTGTTTGCTGCCGCCGCCAAAGAAGGTATAGAAGGAAAGGAATCTCTTCTTCAGTCGAGAGTAGTTCAAATGGCTATGTGTCATAATCTAAATGAAGCGCAATTGGCTGACAACGATGATGCTGTGCTCGCCCAACATCCTTACCTTGTATACACTTCTCGTAAGTGTTTCCCTTTAAGACATCTTCCCTTGGAAGATGATGTTGTCTTCAATGAAAGACTAGAAGAATACGAAGATCTCATGCAGCGATCCTTTCTTGATGAAGATGCCACGGCGTCAGTGAGGTTCCTACTGGCTAGTCGTGCTGACGAACTTGCATTACAAGAGATAGAAAGGATTGAGCTGCTTAAGAGAACTTTCGTTGCTCTCGAACCGCTCTCTTTAGAAGATCTTCGCCACTTACAGGATCGACGGGAATTTCAAACCTTCAGTGATGATAGTGCAACTAATATTTCTCAAGTTGTACTGGAGGATGCAAAGCGAAGCATTATGGAAGAACGAGAAGATCGTGCCGCAAAGTTACGTGAAGTGGATGCGCTTCGTAAGGCATATCCAGTACTCGGCCGCAATGTTGATCCTAGTATGCTTGACAACCCAGTCATAGCAAAGCTTGTAGACGATCATGAAGAACTTATGAATGATTCAGATGGAAATGCGGGAAAGTTGCAGAAACTAGAAGAAGCAATCGCACAACATGCTAGTGAGCACAACCTTATTCTTAGAGGAGAACAAGGGGCTGTCGAAAGACCACACAGCCCAAGTACAAGGTACGCTGTTGATATCTCCTTTAGCAAAATAGAGGAAGACCTTATAGATGATGAATATTACCAGGAACTTATAAAACTACAGAATAGTGTCAAAGAAAGAAATGATCCTGCAGACGCACCGTTACTCCGCCGAATTAAGGCACAAATCGATGGAAGACGGAATCAGATAAAAAACGATGGAATGAAGAAAGTTGCAAACAATAAAAAAATTGCAGCAAGAATATCAAAACGATTCCCCTTTCTAAAACCACAACACTGTGGAATTCCGCTACATAGACTGCATCTTAATGATGATGATGAGATACGAAAATACGAACAAGAACGAAACACTATTTTATCAGAAAATAAGCACCATACATCAGACATTGATAACATTATATATGACCGTGTGGAGGACATTGCACGTGGGCTGCAGGAGGAGGAAAGTTCACTTGAGGCGATGCTCCCTTTTCTTGGTAGTACTGTAAAAGGTGTTCCTCTTCGTGAACTCTCCCTCATGGAGGATTCGGCGTTCGCAAAACTTGCAGCACAATACACATCGGAGGAGGTATCTTCGGGCGATGCGGCCGAGCGCGCACGCCTTGAGCAGGAGATGCGGGACCAAGCTGGTCGCATAGCGCGGGATGTGCGGATGGCTCGAAGGCGCGACGGCGTGAGGGGTGAGGACTTGCACGAGCGTTACCCGTTCCTTCCTGAGGAGCCAGCTCGTGGAGTACTGCTTGGCGATGTGCATCCAGTGCAACAACCAGAATTCCGNGCAGGCCCTGCGTGAAGCTGAAGCGGGTGATGCTGAGGAGCAGGAGAAATTGCGGGCGAAGGGCCTAACAGACCCTGATGTTGCCTCAAGTATGGAGGGAATGGCAGGTCACGAGGAGTCCGCATCTCAACAAGGGGAGCTGGCCGGTAACGCAATTGCCACAGAGGTCTCAGCGATTGCCGATTCCGACAGCCATGGGACGTCTCACCCATCACAAGATGTGGTGCGCACGACC